ATGCTGGCCAACCCCCGGAGGCCCATCGCCCAGTGGCACTCGCTGAAGCCCGAGGAGGAGGTGGACGCCCTGCTGGGCAAGAACAAGTAGGCGGCGGCGGGGCCGCACCCGCACCGCCGGCTGGACACCAACCGGACCCAGAGCTGCCGATACCTCAGTCACACACCCTAGAGGCTCCCCCGCCCTTGTCCGCGGCCGCGTCCTCGCCTCCGCCCCCGTCCATCCCTGCAGCGGCCGGCTCCCCTCTGGGGCCCTCGAGGGGGGAGGAGCCGCCCCGCTGCATGCCCGCCGCGGCCCCCTCCCCGCCGCAGCCCCGCCCACGCGCTGGGAGTGAGGCCCTCTGGTGGCGCAGCCCCGGCTCGGCCACGGTGGGGTGTCCGGGACCAGAGGGCGGCCCCACTCCCGCTTCCGTCAGGGAAGGCGGCCCAGCAGCCCGCCGTCCCCGTGCGTGTGCGTGTGCGAGTGCGAGTGCGAGTGTGAGCATCTCTCCGTGTCCCTGGAATGAGCCAAGAACAGTGAATCTCTGCGGGGACAGAGGCTCTTCGGGGTGGGGCCCCCCGACAGGAGAGGGGTCCCTGGCCCACACGGGAGGTCGGCTGCAGCCGGCGCGGCCGCCCACTGGGCCTCCCACCTCGTGGGCAGCTGCCTGGGAGGCAGGAGGTGGACACTGGGTTTGTCCTGAGCAAGGGCCACCCCTGACGCCACAGACGCCCTGCTCCCAGCCCTGGCTGCCCCTGGGACGCCCGTGGGCGTGGACGAGTGGACGGTCGCGGGATGGGTCAGACTCCAAGAGGGGCTGTCCACCCTGGGACCTCACCCTTGTCGGCGGCTCACGTCCGACTCCCAGCAACCGGGAGGCCGGTCTCCCCGAATGCCCAGCCACCCCCCCCCCCACGCCTGTGCTCCAGCGGGGCCGACGCTCCGCCCTTCGCAGGACGGGCGCCCTGCGGCCCGCGGGGCCCCTCCCCTCACGCTTTGGCTCGTTTTCTGTTCACTCTGAGTGGAGTAACCTGTGTGCAGACACGTCAGCGGCGCGGAGCCCGGGCTTTGCCGGGAGGGTCACGCTGTTCTTAGTCCCCCGAGGCCCAGGTGAGAGGGGAGGCAGTGGGCACTCGGCAGAGGTTTCCCGGACGGGGGAGGCGGCCGGGCGCGGCAGGGGGCGTGGCCAGTTCCTCAGGGCGCGTCTCTGCGGACCCCCAGGCAGGCTGGCCCCCTTTCAGACGGCGGCGGGGGCGCTGGGCTTCCACCCCGCGCTCCAGACCCCGCTCCCTCTTCACCTCCGTCCCCAGCACTGATAAAAAGCCATATATGTGTTCCTCAAGTTCGCACTGGACCCCTTCCAAGCCTGCGGTGGGGCGGGGGCAGCGGCCAGCAGGCCCTCCCTCCCCCCCAAACCTGCACCACCTGTGGGGCCCGCGCCCGTGCGGCAGCGCGGGGCGGGGAGGAGGCAGCCCCGACGGCGCTTTCCGCTTTGCTGAGGGCACGAGAGGGTGCTCGTCTCCACCGCGTCTCCGAGGGCACGGGTGGGGGGGGCCCTGCTCACCCGTGGCCCCGTGTGTGCACACGTGTGCGTGTTTACGGGCGTGTTGCTAGCGGTGAGACCGGTGGGGGCTGATGAGGTGGAAGAGCGGTGGGTGCCCGCAGAGACGGGCGTTGCGGGCGCCGGCTCCGCTCCGTTCCCTCCCTCCCTCCCCGATGGGCATGGGGGCGTCTTGGTGCTTTCTCAGGGCTTCCCGTCCGCCTTCCCTCGCCGCGTCCCGCCCACCTCGTCCTAGGCCCCGCCCAGCTCCCTCCCTCCCACCTGCGTCCACCTGGGGGCTTCCAGGGCCCAGGGTCGGCCCCTGTCCTCGTGGGAGGGTGGGGAGACGGCAGGCGCCTCTGCGGGCTCCACCGACCCTGGGTCTGCGGGCGCCAGCTGGATGTTGTGCGCGGGGCCCACCTCTAGGGGGCAGCCTCGAGGGCTGCGGCAGGTGTGTGGAGGGCAGCAGGAGAGAGCTGGGTGTGGGGGCCCGTGGCCCCGAGGAGCCGCCGCAGCAGAAGGCACCTGTTGGGCCTGCCGCTCCCTCCCTCCCCCCTGGGTGCGTGGTGCTCCCAGAGCCGCGGAGCTCCACCCCGGACGCTGGACGCTGGGTGCTGGGCGGGCTTTCTCCAGGGCCCCGGGGCGCGGGCTGCAGGCCCGAGGTCAGGGGCAGGGTGGGTCAGGCAGCCGGTTCTCAGGGCTGAGGGCCAGTCCGGGAGAGGGAAGCAGAAGGCCAAGGCCTGGACACCCACCCCCTCCCCCGCCCGAAACCCAGCTGAGGCCAGGAGCCCAGGTTCCCTCCACGCCACAGGCGGCCACTACGAGGCCCTCCCCCGGGGTTCATCCGCCCGGCACCGTGTTTCGACCCGGCGGCAGCTCCTTGCCCCTAGTTAGGGAGCAAGTTACACGTGCACAGTCCTAAAGCCACATTCGGCCCTTGGAAGGCAGCCGCGGCGCTGTGTGGCCCCCGGTGACTATGAGCTGGACGCCCCTGCGTCTTGAGCTGTGGAAGGGCGACCCAGTCAGCCAGAGCCACTGGCAGGAGTTTGGACTCTGGAGGCCGGTGCAGGTGGGTGCCGGCAGCGACTCTCTGGGGCCCCTCAGCTGCCCAGTCCGGCCAGGATGGCAGGCCCACAGGCCCAGGGCGTCTGTGGGCGGGAGGACGGGGGCTTCAGGTCTCCGGGCAGTGGGTGCTCCTGGGCGCGCCCAGGAGTGGAGAAACTCCCCCTGCAGCCCGGGAGTGAGGGGCCCCAAGCTCCTCCGTGCCCTGACTCGACTCCTGGCCTGGCCCGAGCTCTGTCCCCGGTGCCCGCCCCCCACACGTTGGAAAAGCGGGGGCCGGGGGCTGTCCCCTCCCCCCCAACTGGGCCCCTCTCCCACCCCCCGGGCTGGCCGGCAGGGAGGTGCCCCGGGCCTGAACCTGGGGGCCCAGGGCCCTGTGATGTGCTCGCCAGACTCGGCGAACGTTGTAAAAACACAGGGTGCCCCCTTAGACGTGAACGTCAGATAGACGAGGAGGAATGTCCGAGTGCAGGCGTGTCCCGGCGGGCTGTGCTGTGCCTCGGACCACCCTCGTCCCAGGGGTGCACACTGGTCCCGAGTGTCCCTGCGCCTGTTTTTGAGCTGAAATATTGGGAAGGAATCGCTGTGACTTGAAGACAGGTGAAAACACTTTATTTTTAATGGACAACGAGACAAACCTTCTGAAGCCATCTGCACCCCGCCCGGCCCCCCGCCCCCACGCGTCCAGGTGTCTCTGGGCAGACGGCCGCCCCGCAGACCCGCCAGCGAGCCCCCGCCCCCGCCCCCCGCCCCCCGAGGTGCATGTGTGACCTCCTGTACCCAGCGCATGGCCGGGCCCAGGGCCCCACCCCTCACCTCCGCGTCCGCGTCCTGGCCTGTCCCCCCCCCCGCCCCCCCGTCGCAGCCGCACCCCCCGGGAAGCCCCAGGGGGTCCTTGGGCCGCAGGGCGGCTCCCCGGGCTCCGGGCTCGGTGTCCGGTGTCCCGAGTGTGGGCAGTGCCCCTCCACCCCCGTGTGAACTAACCGACAAGCCATAACGGGGCTCCTGCTGGGGCCGGGCCTGACTTCCTCCCGGGGCCCCGCACCCCTGACCGGCGCCTGCAGACCCCTCCAGAAGGGCTCCCATGCTGCCATCCCCCCGAGTCGGCCCGTGTCCCGAGGACGGGGGTGTCCAGGGTCCCTGCTGGGGCCCCGGGCGCTGTGGCCTCGCCCCAGGGAGCAGACTCCCACCTGCACCCTCTGTGCCCGGGGCCTTGCCCGGCCCCTGCCTGCAGGGTTCCTGGGGGCCTGCAGGGGGCGCCCAGGATGCTCAGGAGCAGCAGCCCTGAAGCTCAGCCTGCAGCCGGGTCCCCGTCACCCCCCCGGGTGGACGGGGTCACTTCCCACTGAGGGGCCAGGTCCCTGGATGGCACCGGGGGCCGCGGGGCTCCTCTGGGAGGGGAGAGGAGGGCAGGGTGGGGGGGGGGTCGGCCAGGGGCCCGCGCAGGGCAGCTGGGTGGGGCGCGGGGGTCCCCTCCGAGCGGGCAGGGCCGGTGCCCGGAGGAGCGGAGGGGGCGCGGGACAGCTGGCGGGAGTGAGGCCCCAGTGAGGCTGAGTGTGTGGCTGGTGACGGGGGGGGGGTGAGGGGGTGAGGGGGGCGAGGGGGGCGTCCCCCACGCCCCCAGGACTGGGCCGCGCTCTCGGCAGCCTGGCCGGTCACCTGACCCCCCCCCATGTAAGAATGTGACTTTGCTGCTTTCTGGAAGCTTCAACACCAGGCCCCCCCGAGCCTGCCCGGCCCCTGCTGCAAGGGCCCCACCAGGAGCCCCCCCCGTCCCCACGGGAAGGACACGCGTGCAGCCCCCCGCCCCCGAGCTTGGCAGCGCCCCCCCCCTTGTGTGGACCTTGTCTGATCTCTTGTCAAACTGTCGTTTTGTAACGAGCCGTGTCTCCTTATTAAAGAAATGAGCTCAGAGAAACCTGGGGGCGGGGGGCGTCTCTAGTGGTTTGCTGGGCGGCGGGCGGCGGGCGGGCGGTGGGCGGGGGGAAGGTCAGTGGCCCCGAGCCCCGCGTCTTCCTGAGGGGGGTGGGCGAGTGCCCGGGGGGACGGCCTTCCTGGGGGCCTGGGGAGGGACCGGGCCCCGGGCTGGCCTCCGCGGAGCCGGGCGTGGGCTCGGCATCGCCCGACCCCGAGGCCCGAGGCTGCCCCGGGGAGTCCGGGAAGTGAGGGCGGCTACGGGCCACCAGGTGCCCGTGGCACAGACCCCAACGTGGGGCGTCCGTGGCAGGGGCCGGGCCGGCCCGGACTTCGGGATCCTCGGGGCGGGGGGGCGGCAGAGGGCGAGAGTGCCGGTCTGCTCGGGGCAGCGGGGGGGGGAGCAGCTGGTCTCCGCGCCCCACTGTCACACACGGGGCCCTGCTCCTCGCCTGACCCGGGACCCAAAGACTCGGGAGGGGAGCACGCACCACAGAGACATGGCCACACGGCAGAAACAGCTTTATTTCCTCGCTTACAAACACTGTCGTGCTCACAGGCATCACACAGGCGTGAACGGTGCCCCCCGCACGCTGAAGCGCGGGACACGTGTCATGTGACGTGACCGCCACCGGGAGGACAAGCCCGCTGGGCTCAGGGCTGAAAGGCCACTCGAAGTTGCATAAAGATACATTCGGCTCACAAAGCGGCCGGCCCCGGCCTCCCAGGTATTTACAAGGGGCTGAAGTGCAGCCACACCGCCCTCTGTGCCGGCGGGCGGGGGGCCGGGGGGCGCGGCGGGCGGGGAGCAGACGCGGTGGGGGGCCGGGCCCCGTCGGACCCCGTGCGAGGCGGAGGGTGTGCGTCAGACTCTCGTCCCGGACAGACGCGTGGGGCGGCAGCCTTTTCCTCCTCAGGGACGCACCTGGGGGCGCCAGTGGGGGCCCAGGGGCGCTGGCGCGGGGACCGCACCCTCCCCGAGCCCCCGGCCCAGGCTCCGGGAGCGCGGGGACCAGGCTGCAGAGCACACGCGAGGCGCTCGCCTTCTGCAGGCCCGGGCCGCCCCGCAGGCTCCGGCCGGCGCTGTCTGGGGCGGCAGAGTGGCCGCCCGCGGGGCGCCGCCCCCACCGGGGCCCTCAGGTCCCGGGCGGGAGGGGGTGGTGGCGGCCGGTTCCGGGGAAACCTTCCTGGAGCACCGTCGTCTCCGAGGGAGTGGGGAGCGGGGTGGGGAGGGTGGATGGACACAGAGCGCCCCGATGTCACCTCCAGGGGCCCCCGGGGACGTTCCCGGGGACGTCTGTCAGGGAGAGTCCCCGTCCCAGTGGGGAGGCCGCGGTGGCCACTCGCAGGGCGGGGCTGTCCCCACGGACCCAGACCCCCCCGAGGTCGGCCGGCAGATGGGCCGCAGTCCTCACCTCACCGCCCCCCAGGACCCTTCTCCTCGAGGGCCCACGGGTGCGGGCCTGGCCCCCAGCTGCAGCTGCCGGGGACCCACACCCTCTTCCCCCCCATGCACCTGCGGCCCGGGAGCTCTGCCGGCTTCCGGCCCCGGGGCCCCTCGTCCCCCGGCAGCTGTGACAACGGTGGGTCCCGGGCTGCCGCCAAGCCCATCTCGGCAGCACACGGGCGGTCAGTAGCCGACCTGGAGGGGGCCACCAGCCCCAAGCAGGTCAGGGCCCACATGGGAGGGGGCTCCCACCGGGGAGCCCCACCGGCTTCCCTGCAGGAACTCAGCTTCTGTGCCCCTCACCTGTGCTGGCAGCCAGCAGCCCACTCTGCTCCCCAGGACCCAGCCTTCTGCCTCTTCCCAGCGTGGGGTCCCTGCCCCCCGCAGGGGAAGATGCCCCTCAACATGAGGACCCCAGCTGCACCCGGCCCCCCCCACCCCGGCCTCTGTTTTCGCCGCTGCTCGGTGGGTCACAGGACCGTCCTGGCCGCCCGCCTGGCCTCGGGGTTCGGTTGGCACCCCCCCCCCCCCCGGGAAGCCTTGCTGGCAACACCGTGAGGTGCTGTGCCCGCCACACTCTCGTGGGCCCACGTGCCTGCCTCACGGGGGGTGAGTGCCCGGCGGGGCAGAAAGGGCCCTGCCAGGGAGAGCCGGGGGCTGGGCGGGACGGCGGCCGCTGGCTTCCGCGGGGCCACAGGCCGGTGAGAGGGGCTGCAGCCTCCTCGCTTCCTGAGTGGAAGGGTCCGGTAAGCACACGTCTTACTTAGGGCAGGGGACGTGGGTGACTGGCCCCAGTCGACGGCCCGACACCACCCTCCCCGGGGGTCTCAGAGCCGTCGGTGCCGCCGTGGTCTCGGACGAGAGCGGCGGGGGCCCCGAGGAGCGGAGCGGCCCTGACGCAGGCCCGGCGCCCGGCCAGGGGCTGTTGGCGGCAACCCCGGGGTCTGTGCCGCGGGCAGCAGCCGTGGGGATGGTCCTGAGCCCCGGGAGGCGCCGTGACGGAGGTGACAGCCGGTGGCCACAGGGGGGCGGGCACAGCCACGGGACCCAGGATTCCTGAGGTTGAGAAGTGCGTGACTTCGTCACAAGGAAACTTTCTGGCAAGAAAAGGCATCTTTGACATGGAGGGGCAGCCACCGAGTCCCCGCGCCGTCCGCACGGGAAGGCACGGCAGGGCTGGCCCCACAGCCCCCTGGGGGGAGGGCGGGGACGCCTCCCGCAGCTCGGCTGTCTTCCTGAGAAAGGGGCGGCCGCCCCGTCTGTCCCCAGCGTGGCCAGAGAGCAGCCAGGGGACTCGCCGGCTCTGGGTCCCCAGAGGGGCAGGGCAGTGCCTGTGGGTGGGCGACATCCCACCGGAGCCAGAGTCCCCGAGACCCACTTCCACGCTCGCCGGCACCACGCTGGTCCCAGCCGAGGGAGCTGCTGGGGCAGAGGGTGGGGGCGGTGGGCCCTGTGCGCTCAGACTCGGGTCCCGAGTCCCCAAGCTGGGTGACGAGCGGAGGGGCACGGGGGGGGGGGGGGGCGGGGGCAGAGGCAAGTGCAAGCCTTGCTGAGAACCGGCGCAGCGACCCGGCTGCGGGGACCAGCAGCGTGTGAGGGACCCGCATGCAGAACCGACGGCCAAGACGCCCGAGACAGGCAGACACCCTCGAGCTGACGCCGGCCCTCGTGCGGGACGGGGTCCGAGGGCGACGAGTGTGGCCGGACAGCCGGGCCGGCACACGCTGCTGCCAGGTGGGGGGGTTGTCTGGAGGCCGAGGGTTCATGCGCCGGGAGGGGGGTGAGGCCACCCACACAGTGCGAGGGCTGAAGGGCCTGGGACCCCTCGGGGCACCCACGGGCCTCCCCCAACATCAGGGCAGCTCCCTGGCTGCCGGAGCCGCCCAGCTTTTGAGTGACCATGACCCAGAGGCCACCTGAGGGTGCAAAGCTGGACCAAAGGACTCTGACTCCACGATGGTCACCCTGCCAACTTCTGAGACTTCTGCTGGCGTCTCAGGACACCAACGTCCCTCTCTACACGCGGCCACCAGAAACTCTCACCCCACACCTCCCGCGCCAGCTGCCCATCCTCAGGGTCCCCACCCGCGCCCACCCCACTGCCCGGACCCCCGCCACCCCTCCTCGGACCGGGACCCCCTGAGCCCGGGCGAGGACCACGGGGGTGGGGGCCGGTGGGTGGCCCGGAGCCACCAGCACGAGGAGCAGGGAAGCCAGGTCCCGAGAGGTGGCAGCGAGCAGGGCCTCTCGCGCTCGTGCCTGGGATGCAGCAGAAACAGGCCCTCGAGTGGTGTGGTCCCCCCCGTCCGGCACCCCGCATGGGCCGGCGCTGGCCCCCCAGAGGCCCCGCTGGGGCGGGGGACCCAAGAGGTGCGCGTGGAGCAGGGTGCAGAGGGGCAGAATGGTGGCCGCGGGGCAGGTGGCCTCTCATCGCACACCCTCCCCGGGCGGGCAGGGACGGCGGGGGGGTGGGGGGCCCGAGGGCCGGCCAGGCCTCCTCGGCCACGGCCGCGCTACTTGGACAGTTTGCTGATGACCCTGATGAGGGCGCCGTTCTCGTCTTTCAGCCTCTGGTTGTCGGACTTCAGCTCTGTCAGCACCTGCGGGGGACAGAGGCGGGCGTGTCACAGCCCCGGGCGGGGGGGGCCAGGGGGCGCAGCCGCCGGGCCGGCCTGGCGGGGGACCCCTCCCTGCACCCCGCGCTGGCCCACCGCCGGCGCACAGGCCCCACGCCCCCACGCGGTACCCGTTCTGCTAAACCGGGGACGTCCCCGTCGCTGCTGCCCTGGAGGCCGCCTGTGGTCCGGAGGAGCTGGGGACAGCGCCCAAGGGCGCGGGGTGGACGCAGGAGGAACCCCCGGACAGCAGAACGGGGGTCAGCTGAGGGGGTCGGGGGTCAGCTGAGGGGGCGGGAGGCCAGGTCACACCCACTGGAAAGACGGGCCGTCACCGGGCACACGCTGCAGTCTCCCTGAACCACCCTCCCGGTCACCGCGGGGCAGCAGGCGGCCGGCAGCTGCAGGGCTGGGCGGTCACTCCAGGGGCCAGCGCCTCTGGCTGGGTGGGTCTCCCGCCAGCCGGCCGTCCTGGCACATCAGGGTCCCCCGACTCGGGAGGCGGGGGTGCAGCAGCCCGGAGGCCTCGCCGGGGTCCAGGCGCTCGGACGGCCGGGTCCGAGGCCACAACACCCACCCCACGATGTCAGGTAGCCGCCTGTGACCACAGGCCTGTGGGGCCACGCAGGTGTCCCGAGGCCCGGAGCTGAGGCCCGGACAGGACAGCTGTCCCCTGCGTCTCCCGAGGGGGACGGGGTGGGGGCGGTCACAGCCCGGGCCGCGTGTCCCGGGAAGGAAGAGCGGCTGCTCCGGACACGCCGTGTGGGAGCACTCACCCCACGGCTGCTCGGGCCACACGGGGTGGGGCCGAGTCGCTCCACCCCGGGGGGCGCCCGGCTGCGGCAGAGCCTGAGTGTACGGGCCCAAGGGTCGCCCCGCCCTCACGGAGGACGCACGGAGGACGCGGGGGTGTGGGGGGAAACAGGGCCCTGAGGTGCAGAGGCGGAGATCCGGCGGGCTATCAGCAGTCCACACCCCGTTCGGGACCCACCTCCCGGGCACCCCACCCCGTGCAGGCCTCGAGGCGCCCGCAGCCCCTGCCCCACCACCGGCTCCCAGAGCGCTGCACCAGAGCACCCCGCCCACTCCGCCCGGCAGGCCCCGGCGGGCAGAGGGCAGTGCCCGCTGCACCAGGCCCCTCACCTGCACAGACCCCTCTCGGGGCCTGGCTCCCCGTCCCACACTGAGAGTGGGAGTTTGCGCAGAGACCAGATGGGGGGCTTCCTGCGGCGGGGACGCTGGAGGGGCGGGGGGCGAGGCTGAGGTCGGAGGGTGGGGCAAGGACACCCTGGCACAGGCCACTGCTGGGGGACGGCCCCCTCAGCTGTCCTGGCTCCCACGTGCGGGCGCCAGGGCCAGGCGCCAGGGCTGGGCGCCGGGGCGTCTCAGGCCAGTGAGACTGAGCAGTGTCCTCCGCTCTTCCTCCTCCTCCAGACCCTTCCGTGCTCGCGAGGGCGTGGGCCCCAGGGCGGCGGGGACAGCGGCCTGCCTCGTCTACACAGCCGGGGGTGGGGACTGGCCACAGGGCGTCTCCCTGGGGGTCAGGGAGCCCTGGGGACCACGCTGCCCTCCCACCCTTCCTCTGGGTTGCGGCCTCCGCCCCCTGGCGGCCGCCCCTCAGCCGCCCTAACGCCCAGCGGGTCACAGGTCCGGCAAAGCTTCACGCTGGGCCCTGAAGTCTGACCCCACAGTCCCCACGGGTCCTGACCACGCTGTCACTTCTCTGCCGTCCCGGAGGACGCGCACCAGGCGGAGTCTGTGGGCAGACGGCTGTCTGTGCAGGGGACAGCGTGGGGCCGGCTCCCACGCCAGGGGCCAGGGCGCGGGCTCTGGGGCCGGCACACGGGGGCCACACCCCTAGTGACCCAGGCCCGGTCCTGAGCTGGGGCCGGCTGCCTCCCGCGTCAACGATGGTGCTGGGGACAAGGGGGCACGGGCCCAGCCAGCGGCTGCTGCCATGGCTGCTGCCCGCTGAGAGCAGGTTGCATCCCACACCCTACGCTTGACAACAAGAACAACTGGGACCTCTGGGGGGGCCCGATCGCCCCAACCCAAGTGTCCCGGGAGCCTCGAGGCCGATTCGAAGGCGTGGCATCGGTGGGCCACTCAGCGCCCTCTCTCCCCGCGGGGGGGGCCAGCACGGGCACGCCTGCCCCAGGGCAGTGCTGCTGGAGAGTGGAGGCAGCTCTCGGACCCGCATCCAAGGGAGGCTCGGCCCCCCACTCCCCTGGGTCCCAGTGGAAGACACCCCCACCTCCGCCTCTCTGCAAGGGTGGCGGCGGCCTCTCAGCACCTGCGCTGGGTGGTGCGGACACACCACTGGGCCCCGAGACCCGCGCCCGGGGCGGGGGCACGGCCTCCCGGGGGGGCGGGCGAAGACACGCGGGAGGAGGCCGGGCGCACCTCACTGTGCCCGGGGCCAGGGCCGCGCCAGCCTTCAGGCAGCCCCACCCAGCGCGGCCAGACTTGGGCGGCGGGCTCTGTGGGGGCCTCGCCGGCCGGGGCTCCCAGCCCTGGTGTCACAGCGGCAGCGACGGGGAGCGGTGGACCTCGACCCCGGACCCCTGCTCTTCGCCGGGTCTGTGCCGCGCACCTGTGCCCGCAGTGTGGCGACGGCCCCACCCAGGCAGGTGCACCGGCTCCTGCCTCAGCCCCGTGGACAGGCCCCAGGCCGCGTCCCTCTCAAGGCCTCGGTCCTGGCTCCACCGACGTCGAGGACCGGCCCTGACCGCCTGCACGGGGCTCGGAGGGGGCGGGCCCAGAGCTCCTGGAAGCCACGAGGAGGGGCACCTGCCTGCAGCGGTGGAGGAGGGGCCGCAGCTACGGCCCCTGCGGCGGCGCAGCCTCCGCGGACGCCGAGAGCCGGGCCACCACGCGGGCGAGCGCCCTGTTCTCGGCCTGCAGCTGCGAGTTCATCTGCTTCAGCGTTTGGATCTGTTTTAGCTGGTGCAGGTTCTGCAGTGGGACACGGGGGGCGGACAGACAGACCACAGACAGACAGACCAGGAGGTGAGAGCGGGTGCGGCCGTGGCCGGCACTCAGCGCGTGCAGAGAGGGAAGGAGGGTGCAGCCGCGGGGGTGCAGGAAGCGCCCGCCAGCCCCCCCACCCCCAAGGCCGGCCATGCGCAGGGCAGCCATGCGGCCCCACAGCCCGGCTCCTGGCAGCGCGTCTGGTGACGGCCCCGCCCACCGGGGCGCGGCCCTGGGGGCTCCTGCTGGGCTCGGGAGGGGAGCCTGCTGTGTGTGTGCGTGTCTCCTGCGTGCGGCCGCCCCGGAGCCGCAGTGGCGCGCTCGGGTGCGGGCAGCCCTGCTCTGCCCTGAGGGAGGCCGCTGCCCTGACCCGCACCGTGCCCGCCGGCCTGCAACCGGACCATCTGCGCCTCGCGGTCTGTGGCACCCTGGGCCGTGCGCGTCCCTCGCAGAGACGCCGTGGGCGGGCCCAGCCCGTGGGCCTGGTCCCCTGCACTCGGGCCTCACGGGAGCCCCCGGGGCAGCGCCTCCCAGCCCACTCCCTGCCGCCAGTCCTCGCGTGGCGCCGGGCCCGGGCGCGAGGGCGGTGACCTGGTGGGTGAGCAGGGTTCGCATGCAGGCCGTGGGGGCCACAGGCAGGTCTGCAGACCAGACACAGGCGCGCGCCCCCCGCAGGCATGAGGTCAAGAGGTGAAGGGTTAGTGGTGAAGAGCAGAGAGGAGGGGGCACGAGCGTCAGAACAGCGGGCCGAGGCGACGCCGAGAGTCTGTCCCGAGCCGGTGCAGCCAGTGGTGACAGAGGCTGGGCTCCCAGCACGTCCAAGCTGCCACCGACGGGCGGGGACCAGGCCCCCTCCCCCGGCCGCGGAGAGGACAGAGCCGGGTCCCATGGGGACACGGGACAGCTGTTCCGACGGGGGGTGGGGCCTTGCTGATGCAGCCCACGAGCAGCCCCAGGCCCTACCCCTCCTCCAGGGTGGACGCGGACCAGACCCCCGGCGGGCCCGCCCCTGCGCTCACAGTCTCGGCAGGGGGAGCGGGGCAGGGGCCGTCTGTGGACACGTCCGGAGGGAGCAGCCCCGCAGGCAGGCGGGGGGACGGGGAGCGTGGGTGCCCCCCAGAGGCTGTGGCCGGGGAGGGGGCAGGGCTGAGGTGGGTGCAAGCCCCGGTGAGAGCGGCCACTGCCCTGCAGCCCACACCCCGGGCGGCTCCCTGCCCACTGGGCCTTGCACTCGGCTCACCAGCGAGCGCCACGCGGGCCCCAGGGGCACCTTCTGTCGCCCAGCGCCTGCTCCCGGGGTCTGCGGGCGGTCAGCCCTGCCCGGCCTGGCCCGGCCGACGCCCCGAGGAGGGCTGACATCTGTGCGACGGACACCCACGCACCACGGGCCCCGAGCTCCACGGGGACCCAGACGGTGGCCTCGCCACCCTGTGCTGTGGGCTGCAGGGGGAGCCTGAGAGCCAGCCAGGGGCCCTCTCGGCCCCTCAGGGCCACCAGGCCAGCTGCACGGCGCTTGGGACCGGGGGGCAGACGCAGGGGAAACCCGGGGGCCGGGGTTCCCCGCTTTGTGATGTTCTGGGAGCGGGGGTGGCTTCTGACCGAGTGGGTGAAGCTTAAAAAAAAAGCCACTTTTGGCTGCGAACCAAAGTGTCGCAGGTTCGATTCCCAGTCAGGGCACATGCCTGGGTTGCAGGCCATGACCCCCAGCAACCACACATTGATGTCTCTCTCTCTCTCTCTCTCTCTCTCTCTCTCTCTCTCTCTCTCTCTCTCTCTCTCTCCCCTCTCTCCCCTCTTTCCCCCCCCTTTCTCTCTAAAAATAAATAAAATCTTTTAAAAAAGCCACTTTCAAGTGAGTGACCCCCTCCCCCCACTTTGGGGCCCCGACAGCCACGGCCCGTCGTGACACTGTGACACTCGCGCGTGAGCTCGCAGGGCGGGACGCGGGGCGAAGGACCCTTCCCCGCGTGACGGCCTGGAGGGCGCAGGGAAGCCAGGGCCCAGGTCAGGAGCCCGCAGCCCACCCCCCGGGAGGGAGAGCGTGGGCGGCGGGAGGGCTGGAGCGGAGCGGCGGCCCCTCACTTGGGAACAGAGCACCGGGTCTGGGCGACGACTGGGCCTCCCCAGGACCCGAGAAACCTTTCTGACCGGCGACCGGCCGGCGACCGGCGCTCTGCAGCCCGGGGAGCAGCACACGTCTCCCTGTGGGCACGTCGGGGTGCCTGTCCGCCCCCCCCCCCATCCGGCGGTCGAGGAGGACCCTGGGGGAAGCGGCGCTGAGCCGTGCGAAGCCACTGCAGGCTGGGCGTCGTGCGCGGCAGGCCGGCAGCCCCAGGCCCCCTGGCCCCGCAGAGGCACGGCCCCGAGGGACAGCCCGGGCAGCTGTCGGCCGCGGGGCAGGGGGGGAGCAGCGAGCCCTGAAGCGCACCCGGCCTGAGCCCACCGCCCTGCGCCTGCTCCAAGGACGCTGAGCGTTTTGGGGAGGCACCGGAGCCCAGCGCGCAGCTGCGCCCACCCCGTGGCGGCTCGGCTCAGGCCGGGCTCCCCAGCAGGGGCTGCGGCGGGCGGGACGGGGCGGCCCGGGCCCCCGGCCGCGGGGGGCCTGCTCCCACAGGCAGTGGGGGGCGGGGGGCCGCGCTCAGGGCTCAGCCCTGGGGGGACGCACCTTCATCTCCTCCTCCATCTCGGACATCTTCCGCTCCAGGGCGCGCCGCTCCTGCCGGGAGACGTGCGGGCTGAGCAGGGCGAGAGCAACGCTACTGCCCAGCAAACACCCTGGGGCACGGGCGCTGCCGGTCCTGCTTCCGGACGAGCCACCTCTCCGCACGGCCCCCGCCCCCCCCCCGCCCCCCAGCAGCGACAGGCCCCCACGCCCTCAGGAGCCGCCGTCACACTGGGGGGCAGAGGCTGGGCTGACACCGTTGCCCGTGGGGCCCCCGGCCCCAGCACGGGTGTGGCCTGTGCCCACGGGGGCTCTGTTTCGGGCCGAGGGAAGAGCATCCTGAAACAAGCAGCTTCCAAAACGGGACGGGAGAGGTGGGAGCAGCCGCTCCAGGGGCCGCCCAAGCTGTGGCTCGTCCCTAAATCCGAGTCCCCTCGATAGACGGCCCTAGGACGTCAGCTCCCAGCAGCTGACCCCGAGACCCCTCGGCCAGAGTGGGCAGGGCCCCGGGGGGGCCCCGCTGCTCCCGGCGGTGGGGAGGGTGGAGCTGCGTCAGTGTGCTGTGCATACATGTGCGTGCACATGTCTGTGTACCATGTGCATGTGTCAGTGTGCTGTCTGCACGTGTGTGTCTGTGTGCTGTGCGTGCACGCGTGTCTGTGTGCTGTGCGTGCACGCGTGTCTGTGTGCTGTGCGTGCATGTGTCAGTGTGCTGTGAGTGCACGTATCTGTGTGCCACGCCATGAGTGTGTGTGTATGTGCATGTGTGTGCGGGTCTGCCTGCAGCAAAACAACGCCAGGGCGACCCCCCCGAGGGCCCCACCCCCGCTCCGTGTGGGAAGGGCCCGCTGCGCAGAGCCGGGCAGCCAGGGTCAGCGCCGAGCGAGGGACGGACGTGCCGGAGCCTCCTGGGCCGGTGGGTCTGCATGGCACCGCTGGCAGAGCCAGAGGCTCGGGGGTGGGGGGGCACAGAGGGGAGACACTCACCCGCTTCTCCACCTCCAGCATCGAGGACCTCTCCGGAGCCTTCTCCTGTCTCTGCCGGAACGAGGGGGCGTGTCACTGTGGGGCCCGGCGGGGCAGCCGCACTGCGGACCTGGGGCCCCACACGGCTGCTGGTGGGGCTCCGGGGCCGGCGGGAGCCGGGTCCCCGCGGGACAACGGTCACAGTACTGCCACCGTCCAGCCACCGTCCTGTGTCCTCTCCGAGGCGGCAGCAGGGAGCCCGAGCCCCTCTGTTCGAGTCCCAGCTTGGCGCTGGGGACAGGGCCCTCTTCCTCGGGGCGGGTGCCAGGGGCCCCAGAGCCCCCCTCCCCGCGCCAGGCTCTGAGCGCACGCAGCAGGCTGCTGCTCCTGCAGAGGGAGGGCCCGGGCGAGCCCGCACCTGGTCTCAGTGCGAGAGGGGAACCTCAGACCCCTCTGGTTTGCACGCACGGTGGGCGGGTGGGGAGGCAGGCAAGTCAGCACTGCGGCGGGGGCGCAGCCCGGCACGTGGGGCGGCCCCGGCACTGAGCGCTGCGCACCCCTCTGCAGACGCCTGACCGACACGGGATCGTGGGTCCGCTCACCGAGGCCTCTCTCCTCGCAGAGCTTGGGGATGGCCAGAGTGGCGGGGGAGCTCTGGCCCTGCCTGGGGCCCTCGGCGGCCGCCCGCCTGCCCACAGGCACCGAGGAGGGAGCAGGCCTGTGGCCCTCCCCCGCTGGCCGGGCGGTCTCGGGGGTGTCCTGCTGTTTTTCCATCTCAACCCCCTCAGGGCTGGGGGGAGCTTTCGTGCACAAGCCCCACGTGTCCCTGTGGGACTGTCTCCAGGCGCATGGGACCCCCCCCCACCCCGCCCTGTCCTGACCAACACTCCATGTTTGGTCAGCAGCAGACTCCCGCTGCAGCACAGCCGGAGAACGCGGCCGCTACTTGGACTTGGCCTTGGCAGAGCAGAGGCTAGATGGGGGGCTGGGCTTTGTTTCCAGCGCCCTCCGGGCCGGTGGCCTCTGCAGCTGCTGAGTGGGGGGTGGGGGGCTCTGCTGCCCCGCCCAGGGGTGGGGGTAGGGCGACTGCCCCAGGGGGGTGCCCTCCAGCGAGGGGCAGCTCTGGCTGGAGAGGGCAGGCAGGTGAGGTCCCCACGGCCGCAAGCCTTGGGAACTCCTGGCAGGAGGGCCAGGCCCGGCCGTCAGGGCCCAGCAGGCACAGCTCAGGCCGGGCACCCGTGTGCAGCGCCCGTGCTCCGTGGGGAGACGCAGGGGCCGCGGAGCTGCCCGCCCTCCCCGGCACCCGGCGCCGCACCCCTAGCGTCCCTGCCCTCTCTGTGGGGTCTGCCCCGGCTCTCACTCCTGCTCCCCCTCCCCCTCCCGGGGAAAGACCTTCCTGCCGATCCTGCACCAGCGAGCGCCCTGGCCTCGGGGGCCCCGAGTCCGCGGCCTCCTGCTCCTCCTGCACCAGCGTTCCGGCCCCAGGCCGAGGGGCAGTGGTGGCCTCAGGGCGGGGGGCGGGGGAGGGGGTGACCGGGGACCAGATCCTCGGTCCCAGCACCACCTCTGTCCTGAGTGACCACTCACTCCTCGGGGCCTCATCTGCCCCCCCGGGTGCTGCGTTTGCCGGGGCCTCGCCCGTCTCCCGCTCTGGGAGCGACATGGACACGAACTGAACGGACGCCCAGCGCACGAGACAGGGACGCTGCCGGGCACAGACCGCGCCGCACGGCGGTGGCGGCGACGAGCGCTCCAACGGCCAGGCGCGGCTCCCCGGACGGTCCAGTCAGATGCCAGAGGAACCTGAGGTCCGGCAGCGTCTGGGAGGCCCCGTCCTGGAGCACCCTCTCCCCCCGGGCCCCCGGTCTCCACGGCGCTCCCTCACCTGGGCCATCTTCTCCAGCCTGGCCTTGACGTCCGCCAGCTCCAGCTGGGCCTCCTGGAGCTTGCCCTTCAGCTTCTGGTTCTCGGTCAGGGCGTTCTCGTAGAGCTGGGGGGTGGGGGGTGGCATCAGGTCACCTCTGCGGTCGGGGGGGGGGCGCAGGGAACGACAGGCGTCCCACTCCCCACCGGCTGCCTGCTTCCCACCACTCCACCCCGGGCAGCCCCCGCGTCACCGGACAGCGGGGCCCCTGTGAACCCCTGCACATGTTGGGTGCCCCCCTCCAGGTGCTGGGCTCCGCACACACCAGGCACCGGATCGGTGCTCGGAAGGTCTCAGCAGGCGGAGCCGCCCGGAGACCGGGGGGTGGGGGGGGGGCGGTGCTGTCCCCTCGTCACTCCGGCCCAGTGTCTGCCTCGCCAGGACGGGCTCGCTGTCCCGCCCGGGGAAGGCTGTGGCCCAGGCGCAGGGAGGCGGCGCAAAACCCTACCTTCTTGTAGTCCCTGCCGCTGCCCTCTTCCCCGCGGCCGGTCAGCGTGGCCAGGCGGGCCTCCCGGGCCTCCCGGCGGGCTCTCGCGGACGCCCGGTCGCCGTAGGAGTCGCCGGCAGTGGGATTGCTACTCCCGGACTCCAACCTGCAGGAGACATGGGGGCCGTGGGCGGTCCGAGCGGCCGGAAAACTCGGCAGGGGACCCGACCAGACGCACGCGCCCACCCCTTCCTCGGACCCCGCGGCGTCTGCGCCCTCAGGCCTCCGGGCAAAGCCGCCGGCGTGGGGAGGAGGCCACCACTGGCCGGGAAGGGAGCCGGCTGGGAACACTGGCGGAGCGGACCCAGGGGCGGACTCGGCCCTGGGGCCCCTCCGGTTCCCTCAGGGTTGGGCTGCCGCTCCCTCGAGAGTGTGCTCTTCAGAGCCCCGTTCCCCGAGTCCCAGCCGCTCCGGGCAGGCGGCCCCGAGGGCCCCGTTGCCGCGTCGCAGACGCGGGGACCTGGAGTGGCGGGCCGCTGGGGGACAGTGGCCGCGGCCGTCTCGGGCAGCCTCGGGGAAGGCCCGGCCCCGGCCCAGGAGCAGGGCTGTCTCCCCGCAGTTCACCCCAGGGTTCCGAGTCGCCAGGAGGGCCGGGCCGGGCTCCCGGCCGCGCCGACCCCTCGGGCCCTCGGGCCGCTGCGGGGGTCCCTCCCGCCTGGCCGTCGTCCGCTCAGGGCGGCTCTCGCTCGCCAGGAGTGTGGATTTCACACAAATCCGGCAGTTTTTATCTTCACGGTGTTGGGCTTGGGACAGTCTCTCCTGTATACAGATTATACTCTCCCACGACTTCTGTGGTGAAATCTTTTCCTTTTAGAAACCATAATCCATCCGAAACAGGTGTTTTGTCTTCTTGTCCTGCTTTCCGCTATGGTCTGAGGAAGGAGCTCTTTTCCCAGACGGTCACTTGTCCACGCGACGCTGGGGTCCTGAGTTGCTTCACACACGACTTTTGGGGGCCACTCCCTGTGTCCCCCGGACCTGCCCCTGCTGGAATGGGCACCCACCGGCTCGGTCTCTGCCTCTGCGGGTGCAGAGCACGGTTGGAAGTCTGCAGAGAAGTCTCTCTTCACAGGAGGCCGTTACAATGTAACAGACTTCACAAGAAATTGACTAGAGGGAAGGACCGTGTTCCCAGATTCTGCAAAACGCCCTTTCTGCCGGGCAAGCTACACACAGGCCCCCGCAGCTGTTGCTGGCGAGCGCTGAGCTGAGGGGGAACTGGCGTCTTCTGCCAGGGCGGGGCGGGGCTGCAAACGTGAAGACTCGTCCACCGGGAGGAGCCGGAGCAGGCGCCCCCCGCCGACCGCTCCCTCAGGTGCCCCGCCCGCAGCCTGCTGGCGGCCCGGAGCCTCTGCTGCTCCGCTCTGACCCTCCGGGGGGACGGGCCCTGGGAGCAGGTGGTGGGGGCCTGGCCCCCAGGCTCCGGCAGGGGCCCCGAGGGTCTCGGCCCTGACGATCAGGCCTCCGTTCGCCCCGATGGACCGCTGCCCCTGCGGGGCCCCGGGCCACACCGGGCGCTGGCCGTCCCCGAGGCTGAGGACGGCGTCCCTGGCGCGCGAAGCACACGGGGGGGGGGCGGGGGCGGGAGGGGACACGCGTCTGCGTGGCTGTGGCAGCCGTGGAGACGGAGGGGGCGTGCGGGACACACAGGCGGCGAGAGCCGAGCCGGCTCGGGTGTGCACTCACACTCAGGCATGCGTGCGGCACGGGCCGTTCTTACCTGGAGAGCCTTTCGTGCTAGACGCGGGGAAAGACAAAAACAAAACGGAACACAGGTTACAGGCCAGCACTCCCGGGGGCGGCGCCGTGCTTCCCGTCTCACCTGCTCTTCCCAAGCCGGACGCTCTCCGGAGGGAGTGGGCACGGCCTCGGGACCTGCTCTGTCGTCTTCCTTCAGGTGCCACCCCCGGCCCTGCCTCGAGTGACCACCAGCCCCAGGTCTGCAGGGACAGCAGAGGAGGGGACGGACCCCTCACCTGGGGCCCCAGGACGGGGTGAAGAGCCCCGCGTCTCAGAGGAAGGACTTCTGCACGCACACGGGGCACAGGGTCACGGCAGGCAAACCACAGACACGGTCACACCTGTACATGCCACGCCCACACACAGTCACGCCTGCACATGCCACGCCCGCACACAGTCACGCCTGCACACACCACGCCTGCGCTCCACCTGTATGTTCAGTCGTGGGTGAGTTTTACTCTCTTATTTACACTTTTTTTTAAAGAACTCAAGCAAAACCCCAGCGGTCTTGAGCACATTCCTTTCTTTCCCTCTTTGAGGTGTTAACAACGAACTCCTCGAGGGAGGAGGAGGAGGAGGAGGAGGAGGAGGAGGAAAAGGGCCTGACACCCCGCCCGGCGAGGGAGGACCCGCGAGCCGGCGCGGAGCCGCCGTGCCCCCGGCCACAGCGTCCGTCAGTGACCGGGGCTCGCCTGACCTGACGGCCACAGGCCCCCTCGCGGCCCCATGGGGGGGGCACCGAGCAGGTGGCGGCCCTCCGTGGGGCTGAAGAGATGGACGCTGCCGGGCAGCAGCACGGACACGGGACGGGGGGAGACGGGGAAGGACGAGCCACGGCCAGTTCCCAGAGCTGCTCCAGCGCCAAGGGGCGGGCTCCTCCCCTCCCCGCCTCTCGGCCGCACCCACAGAACCGCTGCGGCGGGACCTGCCTCCGATGAGAGAGCAGGGCAAAGGTCAAAGGTCGCCACCGGGCCAGAAGGAGGCCGGGCTGGTTTTCCTTGGTGAGCCGTGTGAGGCTGGCGGCCCACCCGAGGCTGACTCAGAAAACCCACAAAACCTCCTCACTGGAGCGGTGCCGGGGGTCAGGGAGGCACATAATTGGAACCTAGCCCCTGGGGCAAGTCTAAAACGAGACCGCGGCTCTGGGAAACTGGGCCCGGGGGGTGAAGGGGACCGGTCACGTGTCTCCTGCCAGGACCCCGTGGAGCCAGGCCGGGCCGCAGCAATGGGAAGGGCCCTGCTGACATTTCCCTGCAGGGGGAGCGGGCCAGGGGACGTTTCACGCCATGTCCCTGCGCGCTGGCCGGGCCAGGGGAGGGCCGAGCTATTCTGGGTGGCCTCAGGGAACCAGCCCCTCCCGCCGCCCCGGTGCACGAGCCAGCGGGCGTGGCCGAGCGGGGCGGTTTGGGCCCTCAGGGCCTGCAGGCCCCCCTGCCCGCCCCCCCCCGCCCGCCCCCCCCGCCCCCCCGAGAGGCGACTGAAGACAGCTGCGACCATGCAGTGTGAGGGCTGCTCGCACTCGGCGACTCGGCGGGTGGCCTGGAGCCAGCGAGGGGCCCCCTGCGAGACCCGAGCAGCCAGGGCTCTCGGGAAACAGGCTGCCCGGCTCCCGCGCCGTCGGCAGACACACCGGTGCGGCACACACACCTCCGAGGTCCGCAGACAGGTGCGGCAGCGGGCCTGGGCCATGCCGGGCGCTCGTCCCCCTCGGAAGAACGGGTGTTTCCTGGGGGGGGGGGCTTTCCACCACAGTGTGCGCGCCACCGGCTCGAGCTCCACGCGCAGCCCCGAGGGCTCCACGCCCGCGGCCCACATCATGCGCCCACGGGGTGGGGGCAGGGCTGGGTCTCTCCCATCCCATCCCAGTTTGGTCTGTCTCGGGAGAGATGCCTTGGCTGTGTGTCCGGCCGAGTCACAGACAGGCCGTGGGCTCCGGCACACACCTGTTCTGTGGCCTCGGGCAGTGACGTCACCCCTCTCTGTAACGCGGGCTGCACCTTCCTGTTTTCTGCCCCCTCAGCCCCGCTGGGGGAAGGGCTCGATTATTTGCAGGTCCTGGTGGTCCTGGCTCATTCCTGCGCCCCCTTGGGGACCCACCCTCAGCCAGCCCGCCCGCCCACCAGGTGAGGCTCACTCGGAGATCAGCTCAGGGCCGTGACAGGGGCTCTCACGAGGAGTCTGACACACCGGGGGCCCCTGCCCCCCACCTCCCAGGGCAGCCCGGGGCTGCGGACACCCGGCACCCGCTGCGGAACAGACGGGGTACGAGCAGCAGCCCGGGGGGGCTGAGACGGGGCAAAAGGCAGGTGGACGCCGCCCTGCTGTTTGCGTCGTGCCCCTCGTCTGCAGACTGTGACGACCCGCTGGCCACCCAGGCACTACGAGGCTGGGGAAGGAAGTGGAGACACAAGATAAACGACGCTGGACCCCACAGGAACTTCTTCCCGTGTGAGCCGCCCCCAGCCACACGGCTCGCTCTGCACGGACAAGAAAAACCCAGGACCTTCCAGCCCCCCACGGACCCTGAACTGCCCCCGCCCCGAGTCTCCGCGTCCTGTGGGAACGGCGGCTGCCAGCCAGCCCACCTCCTGGCGGCCCCAGGCCGGGCCGGGCCTGTGCGGGAGTGCAGCGCACACCCTCCTGCCGCCGACCCCCACCCCCGGGTTTCTCCCGGCTGTTCCCTGCAGCTCCCCAGACGAGCCGCCACCACCCCCACCCCAACCCCCGGCGTAATTACAAATGCCAGTGTTCCCAGCCTGTAATTTTCTCCTGCACTGCAGACCGGCTCCTTTCCGGCCCTCCCCTCCGAGGTCCCCAAGTGCCCCTCACAGAGCGTCTGACAGTGAGGCCGCCACCCACTTGACGCCCGGGGCCTCCGGTGCGCTGCCCGGCGATCCCCCGGATGGGGGACGGAGTGGTGACCGCCCGCCCGCTGACTTCTGTGGGGCGGAGCGGAGGGCCCCACACGCTGGTGGTGCTGCTCAGAGGGAGGCCTGGCGAACGGACGGCGCCCTCAGTGAGCACCCTTTGCCCGGACGCCTGCCTCTCGGTCCCTGACCGCGGATCACGCAGGGGGGCCCAGGGTGGGCTCTGGGCCTGACCGCGGTGCCCAGAACGAGCCGGCACCGGAGGGCGTCCCTGCCGAGGCGCTGGGCCCAGGCTCCGGCCTCTGGCCTCGGCCAGGCCGCACAGCAGTCACAACACAGCGCACGCTGGGCCACGGCCGCCCCCTCCACGCCAGTGGCTCCTGCACTAGCGAACACTCGAGAACGCCAGCCCCCGGGCTCCCTGGCCCTGCCTCCCGGTGCCGTGAGCGCGCTACCTGTGCGCACGGCCGGGTTTCCAAGGTCACAGGCTTCACGAACCCGAGGTCCGGCACTGCGCGCGGGGGGCGATGCCAGGGCCGAGGGCTCGCCCCGCAGTTCGGGGTCGCTGCGACCGTGAGACGGTGGGAAGTGGCATGAAGGGACCTCCTGCAGGGACAGCGAGGCCCCGCGGGGTCCTGGCCGCAGAGGGGGGCAGACCCGCGAAGGGCTGCGCTGCGGGGCCCGAACTCAGGGCCCGATGGCGTCAGAGGCAGGAGAGGCGTGAGCACCGGCAGAGCTCTGGGAAGAAGCGGCGCCACTGTCCAGGACCGCGGTGCGGCCGGGCCTCTGCCGGGGGAGGGGGGGCGGGGGGGGCGCGCGGTGGCCTCTCCCCCAGGGGGCGGGGCCTCCTGCAGCCAGAGCCTCGAGCTCAGGGGACGAGAAGCACACTTCCGACCCGAGCGAGTGTGCACACACGCACTGTCTTTCCCGGGCACCTGGTTTTCAGCGGGGCGGGTCCTGTGTTGAAAAGCGTCCTAGGTCCGCGCGGCCGCTCGCGCCCCCGGGGCTGCTGGGAGGCGCAGGGAAAGGTCGCAGGGGCGGGCTGCTTTCCAGGGACCGCGTCAGCCGCTGCGTGTTTTCTCGTTAGAACGGCGCCGGTCTGGTTGCAGCACGCGGTCCGTCCGCCGCCTGGCGTCTCAGACGGGCGTCCGCAGGTGACCCTGTGCGCGACGGCCCCTCCTGCAGCCCCACGGAGGACGCCTCCCTTACGGGGGGACACGGGGCCTTTGGCGGCAGCGAGGGGGACCTGGGACTGGCATGCCTGGGCCCGAGGAGTGGGGCCCGGAGGCCGCACCCCTCCAACTCCCGCGTCTCGGACCACAGACCGCACACCGGCCACCCAACGGAGCCTCTGTAACGCCAGGCCCCGGCACCTCCTGCGGAGGCGGCTGGGGCCCCACGGCCCCTTCTGCTCCTACCTCTGCAGACACAGGTGCCCCCCTGCCCCGCCATGTCTGACTGAGGGCCCCCCACCCCACCTGCGCCCCAGCTCTTGCCCGTCCTCGCCAGCCCTCGGGTGTCCCGAGTCTCTGGACACAGCCCATCAGAACGCCGGTGCGGGCCCCCCCCGCCCGCAGAGTGATGCTGGGGCCGCGCTGTCCTGAGCACCTGCCTCCCCACTCGTAAGCCGGGGGCTGCGGTGCCCCCCGCCCAGGTCAGGGAGCCGGAGTGCAGGGCCCGCCCGGCCGGGCCTCCTGGGCGCAGTGCTCCGGGTCCTGCTGCCCGGGCCGCCGCACCTCACGCAGCAGCACCCGCGGGGCGGGGGTCCCAGTGAGCTGGCCGTTCCCGGACCCAGACCCACACGTGTGTCCCCGTCACGCCTGCCCGACGGCTGCGGACCCCGACTCCCCGGGGAAGTGGGGACGGGAACTGGCCGTCGCCGCGGGGACCCGGCCGTGCTCGGCGGGCACCACGGGCGGCCGGGGGCGGCGGGTGACGCGTGAACCAGCAGCAGCGGGGCCTGCCTGCTCACGGCTCCTGCCCCAGGAGGGGCTGCCGGCTGAGTGCCACAGGGGCTCCCAGGAGGCACGGGCCGCAGGGCACCCCAGTCGCTACCGTCTGCCCAGAACGCGCTGCTGCCTAGCAGGCAGCAGAGACTCCTGGCTCACGAGGCCGTCTCCTGGTGGCCGG